GGAGCCGGTGGGACTGATCCGTTACTGTTTAAGCCTGGTGGCGTCTCATTTCTTTGACTTGCAATCCACACTGTCCCGCCTAACGTTAACGACTCCGAAGGCAGGACCACACTTGTCTCGCTCACTACCATGACCCTACTGGAATCCTCAGTTCACAGTGTGGAGGGAGGGCTGTCCAGAGTAGGAACTTAATAAATACATGCAGGAAAAAGATGAACTCGTCCTGACAGCCATTTAGGAAGATCTTTGCATTTTTGGCAATTCGTTTCAGCTTATCCATAAAAATGTTGCCTCTTCATCTTATTTGCCGCTAATAATTCCTCATTCTTTTGGCTGCCTTTAGTTTTTTAATTCAGAAGTTTTATATTTTTATGAACTAACATATTTCCTTTCGTGACCTTTATTTTTTTATTGAGATGTAATTGATCTTCATGACCTTTAATACTAAAATTCTAAATGGATCTCCTCTCAGAGTTGACATTCAATTGTATTTTCTTCTCCTTTTTCTACACTTAAGTTGTGATAACTTACCTAGAATTTATTTAGGTGTACTGTTTGTGGTTAGAGGTTCCTGTTTTTGTTTTCAAAATTTTAACCAACTGTTCAAATACATTTCTCCCCATTGAGTTGCGATGCTTCTCTTGTCCTTTATAAATAAAATTCGGTCTGTTTCTGCCTAGCTTGTCTGTTAAATTGATGTATATAAGCTGTATAATGTTATACATCTGTGAAGGCTAATACTCCTCCCAATTAAGCTGTCTTCAAAGTTTTCTTTACCATCTCCTCTGTTTATTCTTCTAGACAATTTTAAAAATAATTCTGTTCAATTCTAAAAGGACTATTGGGACTTTCACTGCACTTACATGAAGCCTAAAAATAAATGGAGAATTGACACCTTTACAGTTTCAACTTTACCAACCAGGGAAGTTTTTCTTTCTTAAGTTTTCCCATATTTCTCAACAAAAGTTAGTCACTTTCTTCACATGGATCATTGACATTTCAAATAAAGATTATTTCTAGGTATTTGGTATTTCAGGTTGTTT